ATAATCCTCACAACACTCCCCCTCAAGTTGGGCTGAATATGTCTATCATGCCCAGCTTGTCACATAACTCATTGTGTCGCGAGTATGGAAGCCCTTTTGTGAGGACATCAGCGAGTTGTTCCTTGGAGTTGACATAAGGGATGCAAATTTCCTTTTTTTCCAAATTTACCCTTATGATGAAGTGTTTGTCCACCTCAATGTGCTTGGTCCTCTCATGTAGGATAGGGTTGCTGGCGATGTTTATGGCTGCCTCGTTGTCACAGTAAAGAAACATAGGATTATGAACAACAACTCCAAGCTCCCCTAGAAGATTTTTTAGCCAAAGGACTTCAGCCACCCCATGTGCCATAGCTCTATATTCAGCTTCAGCACTTGACCTTGCTACCACACTTTGTTTCTTGCTTTTTCAGGTCACTAGGTTTCCTCCCACAAGTGTGCAATACCCACTCGTAGACTTTCTATCATCCACAACACCTGCCCAGTCAGCATCTGTAAAGACTTTCCACCTTTAGGTGATTATGTTTACTGAATAGTAGACCTGTTCCGGGATAYTTTTTTAAGTATCTAAGAACTCTCTTTGCTGCCTCCATGTGTGGTTTCTTAGGAGAGTGCATGAATTGGCTTAGAACGCCAATTGAATAGGCAATGTCTGGACGGGTCATAGACAAATAAATCAACTTTCCCACTAACCTTTGGAACTGTTTCACATCTTTTAGAGGTTCACCATCACAGTCACCCAACTTGTGATCAACATCCATGGGAGTATCTGCTGCTTTGCACCTAATTTGCCTATGTCTTGTAATAGATCAAGGGTGTATTTCCTTTGAGAAATGAAGATACCCCTTTCTGAGCGGGCGACTTCAATTCCAAGGAAATACTTCAGGGGACCTAAATCTTTCACTTCAAATTTAGATGCAAGGAATTGTTTCAATTTTTGTATTTCTGAACTCCAATTTCCTGTAATGATGATATCATCCACATACACTATCAATACAACAACCTGTTCCTGACATCTCTTCACAAATAGTGTATGATCAGACTGACATTGTTTCAAACCTACCTGCTGAACTGCCATGTGAAACTTACTGAACCAAGCTCTGGGAGATTTTTTTAAACCATAAAGAGACTTTCTCAGCTTGCACACCTTATTTTCACTTCCCTTGGCACAGAACCCAGGGGGTTGAACCATGTATACTTCCTTCTCTAGGTCACCATTTAAAAAAGCGTTCTTTATGTCCAGTTGATGCAATTCCCAGTCAAGGTTAGCAGCTAATGACAGGAGAACCCTAATTGAGTTCATCTTAGCTACTGGAGCAAAAGTCTCATCATAGTCAACCTCGTACACTTGAGTGTACCCTTTGGCTACTAATTTTGCTTTGTACCTTTCAACTGTCCCGTYTGCCTTGTGTTTAACTGTAAACACCCACTTACACCCCACGGGGTCTTTCCCCCTTAGAAGATCCACCAATTCCCAAGTTTGATTTTTATGAAGAGCGTTAATCTCCTCCTTCATGGCATCTGTCCATTCGGGGCATTTTAAGGCTTCTGCAACATTTCTGGAAATAGGGATGCAATCAATTGCGGATAGAAAGGCTCAGTATGAGGGGGAAATGTGATCATAGGAGACATACTAGGTAATGGGGTGTTTTGGTAGTGCATGACCTGACTCCCTTTCTTTGAGCAATAGGAATGTCAAGGTCATCCACAGTAGGAGTAGGGGTATCAGTAGGTGCAACAGGGATTGGACTTACCTCCTGTGAGTCTAACAGTGTCGATTGCTCAATGTTTGGTTGCTCCACATCTCTATCACATTGCTGATCTCTACGGCGTGTACGTTGGAAGACACGAAAGGGAGCAAGGTCCGGAATAGAAGGAAGAGAGACTTGGTGGACCTGAACCTGCTTCTCCTCTTCCACACTACTACTCTCCCCCTGAGGAGAAGCAGGGAAGAATGGTTCAGACTCAAAGAAGGACACATCCATAGACACAAAAAACTTATGAC